ATTTTTCAAATGTTCATTTTTCTTATCCATCACGATCTGATGTTAAAATTCTTAATGGTATTTCATTTGATGTCAAACGTGGTCAAACTATTGCTCTTGTTGGATCATCTGGTTCAGGAAAATCAACATGTGTACAATTATTACAACGATTCTATGATTCTGATTCAGGTTCAGTTTCCGTTGATGGTCATCAAGTCACTGAATATAATCTAAAATGGTTAAGACAACATATCGGTGTTGTTAGTCAAGAACCCATTCTATTTCAAGCAACTATTCGAGAAAATATTTTATTTGGAAGAGATACAGCAACTGATGTTGAAGTTCAGCAAGCAGCAAAAATGGCTAATGCACATGATTTTATCATGACTTTACCTGATGTAAGTGCTACATTAATAATTTTACCCCTTTGGAGGCGGAAGATTTTTTGATCAACAAGTAGTTCGTCGATCAATTTATATTATTCGGTTCAAAATGATTACCTAAAAACATTTGATATTATATCAAGCGTAGAGAGCGAAAGATCATGACCTCGGTGTATATTAGCAGAAAGAAAGGAGAATATCTAAGAAGAATCTGTATGACACATTAAAAGAGAACAAATATATGCATGAGGTGGCACATATGACAGCCTGTTACCGTACTGATCATAATAGTTTAAAGTAGAACAAACATTCTCTTTATTTGACAATAGATACCACAATGTATGTACACCATCCCCGAAGAATTAATGCTTTCGTTATTATTGTTATGCTTTGTCAATTCTATTGTTTGTGTGCGTATTTGTAGAAATATGAAACTCGAGTAGGTGAACGTGGAGCTACACTCTCAGGTGGACAAAAACAAAGAATTGGTAAGCCTATAATAAGAATATGTATCAAAATGTTGATCATATTTTTTTTATGAAATCCTTCATAGCCATTGCTCGGGCTTTGATTCGGGATCCACAGATTTTACTTCTTGATGAAGGTAAACATTCATTTATTTTTCTTTTCATAATTGTATGTTTTCTTTTTCTATATAATAGCTACTAGTGCACTTGATAATGAAAGTGAAAAAATAGTTCAAGAAGCTTTGGATCGTGCTGCTGAAGGTATTGTAGAAGTTTAATTGAGATATTGTCATAGTGATATTGTTTATTATAATTAGGTCGTACAACATTAGTAATTGCACATCGTCTATCAACAATTCGTAATGCTGATAAAATCATTGTAATACACAAAGGTAACGTAGTTGAAGAAGGGGATCATAAATCATTGATGAATGCTCGTGGAACTTATTTTACTCTTGTTGAACAACAAAATTTACGCAAAGCTGAAGAAGAAGAAGAAGAACAAAAACAAGATGAACTTAATCTATTGGTCGTACCAAACCAAACTGCAGAAATTCAGTTAGGTTTCGAAAGAAAACGTGCTTCATCTATTGGTAGTATAGCATCATCAGCTATGAATGCATTATATGGTAAACAAAAGAATTCAACAGCAGATGAAAATGCAGTTGAAGAGAAAGATACTGAAGTAAAAAAGAAAAAGGTAAAATTGAGAATTAGTTTCATTTTAATCAATATTATTTATTAGGAAAAAAAGCCTAATGCTATGTTAAAAATGTTATTAATGAACAAACCAGAATGGATCTTCATAGTGGTTGGATGTATTGCGTGTGTATGTAATGGTGGTAGTCAACCAGCATTTGGTGTTATTCTAAGCAAACTAACTGCGGTAGATTTTTTTGTCATCTTATTCTAATCTTAATGTTAAAATATTGATTTTATTGAAAAGGTCTTTCAAGAATGTGATAAAGAAGTTCAAAAAGATCGAGTTTTACTCTATATACTTTTGTTCATTGGTTTAGGTATTATAATGTTATTTACAATGTCTCTTCAAGTATGTTTTTCTATTTGAATGATATGAAAGATGTTTATTCTTTTATTTTTTATTTTATCTAGAGTTTTTTATTTGCTTGTTCAGGTGAAGCTCTAACAAAAAGATTACGTTCTAAAGCATTTCATGCTATATTACGTCAAGAAATTGCTTATTTTGATAATCCAGATAATAATACAGGAGCATTATGTACACGTTTAGCAACTGAAGCATCTGCTGTACAAGGAGCAAGTGGCATTCGTATTGGAGTAATGTTACAAAACTTAGCTGCACTTGGTACTGGCATTATAATTAGTTTTGTGGTTGCTTGGCAATTGACATTACTTGTTCTTGGCTTTCTTCCATTACTTATAGTTGGAGGTTTTCTACAAAATTATTTAATGACTGGATTTGCTAGTAAAGATAAGAAAGCATTTGAAAAAGCTGGAAAGGTTCGATAATCATTTAAATAATGAATATTATTCATTTGATTTTATATACTCTCTAGGTAACAGTAGAATCTATACAAAATATTCGGACAGTTATACAATTAACCAAAGAAGATTATTTTTATGAACAATATTGTTTACTTCTTGAAGTTCCTTATCGGTATTGTATTTTCTTTTGTGAATTTAATTGAATATTCTATTATAATATTTGTATTATAGATCATCTATAACACGAGCACATCTTTTTGGCTTATTTTTTTCATTATCAAATTCGGTTATATTTTTTTGTTTAGCAGCACTGTTTAGATTAGGTTCTTATTTAGTGCAGAAAAATAGTATTACATTTGAAGCTCTTTTATTGTAAGAATAAATATCTTTAGAATATAATAACTTCATTTTTGTTCTAGGTGTTTTAATTGTATTGTATTTGCTGCACAAAGTGTTGGACAAACAGCATCTCTGTAAATATTTGAAATGATTAGATGAAAGTTTTATAGATTTTTTATTTCTTGCTTCATTAGGGCTCCTGATTATAATAAGGCTGTTCAATCTGCTGAGAAAATTTTAGAATTGCTGGGTCGAAAATCAGCTATTGATAATGGTTCAAGTGATGGTGATGAATTAGTTAGTCCATATCAGCAAAATTTCTATAATATTGATCTTTTTCTCTTTCTTTTGTTCTTTTATTTTAGTCAAACTTTGATGGAGAATTAGAATTTGTTAATGTTCATTTCATTTATCCAAACAGACCCAAATCAATTATTCTTAGAAACTTTGGACTTAAAATCCAGGCCGGTATGTCAACTTTTCATTAATTCATTCCATTGATTCATATGAATTTTTCTTTTCATAGGTCAACAAGTTGCACTTGTTGGTAAACATCATGTTTTATTTTTTGTCTTTGTAATGTTTATAATTTCAATAAATTCATTTATTTATGTAGGTGCATCTGGTTGTGGAAAATCAACCACTATTCAGTTAATCGAACGTTTTTATGATGTAAATGTTGGTCAATTGGTTAGTTCATTTCTCTTTCATATGCACTCTTTCATTTTCTTGTTTTATAGTTAGTTGATTCAAGAGATGTTCGAGGTCTTAATCTTCAATGGTATCGATCACAAAGTATGTCATATATTTCATCCTTGTTTTTTTCCTCTTATTCAACATGAATATATTTTAGTTGGTATTGTTTCACAAGAACCAGTTTTATTTGATATGTCAATAAAAGAAAATATTGCTTATGGCGATAATAGTCGAAGTGATATTCCTATGGAAGAAATCATTGAAGCAGCTAAAAATGCTAATATACATGATTTTATTCAAAAGCTTCCAAAAGTAAGTCATAGAATGATGTTTGTTTGTTTGTTTTTCAGAAAAAAAAAAGAAAATATGTTTTTTCAGGGATATGATACAAATTGTGGAACAAGAGGAACTCAATTATCAGGTGGAGAAAAACAACGAATTGGTAAGAATACATGTTGAAAATAGTTTATGAGAAAAAAAACAAACTTATATTATTATTTAGCAATTGCTCGAGCATTAATTCGAAATCCAAAGATATTATTGTTTGATGAAGGTAAAATGAATAAGAGAATGATTGTTGTATAATGTATATAATTATTTAGCAACAAGTGCATTAGATAGTGAAAATGAAAAGATAGTTCAAGAAGCATTAGATCAAGCTCAAAAAAATCGAACATCAATTACAATAGCACATCGTTTATCAACAATTCAAAATGCAGATATGATCTGTGTTTTACATAAAGGAGTCATTGTTGAAAGTGGAACTCATCAAGAATTACTTGCTCTTCATGGTCGTTATTATCGTTTAGCTCTTGGAAAATATAAATAAATGTTAACATTTTTATTTATCTGGTTTTAAATATACTTTATATTCAAAAACTAACTCATTTTTATGTAAGATTTATAATAGTGTGAAAGTGTATTATTAAAAAATTGTAAAATATTTTTCATAAAAAAAATCTCTATTAGGTGCATGTGGAGTATCTTGATGACTAGCATGGGAAATAAAAATATATAATTTTCCTTGTTGCCATAATGTTTGCATATCAATAATATTTACAGTAAATTGTCTTGAATTATTCTATGTTTCAACTTTGAATGATTGTGGAACATAACTAAGAAATCAACCTGATTGTTTTGGTACAATAATTTCATCAAGATCTAAATATGTGATAACAAATGCATTTAATTTTAACATATTAGTGCAATATATTTTATTATGTGTTTCACGTTCATTATTTATATCAGGAAGAAAATGACACTGAGATATGTATTTATTTAATTGAGTTGGATTATGCCAATAATTTGCAATACTAATTCGATCTTGAATGAATTTTTCATATGCATATTTTGTTACTAATTGATGAAATCGAGCTGAAGATTTTAGAAGATAAGGTATATCAAATATTCCTTGATGAAGACCACTTCATGTTATTAAATTATAAACAAGAAATGAGCATTGTTCAACAGCATCTCGTGCAATAAGACTTCTTTGAGAAAATTCAAGCATATTAAAACCTTGTTGAAGATGAATATCATTACGAATTCTAGTACAAAAATGTTCAACTTGTTTATCTAATGACCACAAAAATGAATCGTCAAAATCATTACCTATTTCAATTGACACAATATAAATTCCAGGGAAAGATGTTCGAAGCCAACCAGCTAGTTCATTCATATCAGAAGTAAATGCAACGATACCATGCATAAGAACAACTGGCCGATATATTATTGTTTTAATTGAACATGAAAGAATAGTAAGAATAAATAAAAGAAAAGCAAGACAAGATATTTTTCTTTGATTTTCTACTTTTCATTAGAATATAATAAAAGTTTATGTGGAGACTCTAGGAAAACTTATAACAGATGAACATCTCTTAGTTGTTACACATATAAATATATTGAAAAAATATTGATTGCATATTGAATTTTTATATGAGTAATAAAATGTTTTATTGAATATGTTTTTTTTTCGTTAAATCGGAGAAAATGATCTAGTGGTAGGTTGGAGATATTTGCACGACAATAAGTTCTCTAGATTTAGTATAAGAGATATGAATCTTTTTTTGAGCAAGAAAGACTCATAAACATCAAAATGTGACTGAGAGGAAAAATTTGTATCGATGGAAATAATATTCAATCACTAATATAATATGTTTGTTGCTGAAACTGCAACTTAGTTTTACAAGTGATTTAATAAATTACTTTTAAACATAATTTTTAATTCTTATGACAATTAGTGTTTTAAAATTCAAAATAGATAACATTATATCATATGAGAAACTATCTTAGTTCTTTTCTGGAATTTGTTAAAAAAGATATGTACAATATTGGACAACATGTTTTCCACTATTTTGTATTTATTATGATTCTCTTAGAAAGCCGCATTCCAATGAGTGATTATTGTCAAAAATACATTCAGTATTTATATTATACAGTAGAGTAGTTAGGCATTTGTTAAGTCATGGGCTGTTTCGCCAGCGATATTATTTTGAGGAGAGGATAGAATTGAGCAATTGAAAATCAATGAGGCTACAGTTCTTTTGAAAATGACTACCATCACAAAAACCGATGTCTATTAAAGAGAAGTTCTTTACTCTCAACCGAGAGTCGAGCTTGTTCGCATTTTTTTGTAGTGTTTCACAAATGTATTCTTCAATTTTCAAATATTTTGAATATATTATGTCAAAAAACATAAATAAGCACAGATAGAACTATTAGCGAAATGAAGTGAAATAACAAGCATTTTTGAAAAAGCGAATCGGCAATAAATAATGAACAAAGATAACATGCAAGAAAAAATAGTCAATCATAAATAGATTTCTTTCATTTTTAACTTGATTTAATTTTTTTGAAATTTTGATATAACGAATAAACAAAGATTGAATAGATAAAAAAGGATTATGCAAGGAAAAAGTAAATGAATTTAAGAGTTTTAAGTAAAAAACCAATGATGGTAAAGAAAAAAGAATCGAGGCAATAAGCAAAACAGAAGATAAGTACTTCATTAATGCGATAATATCGCTGAAAGTGAAAAAAATCAGTTTTATAATTTCAATTTGTATTTATAATATAATAATACAAAAACAATAATATAAAAATAAATGGTAATGATCAGCAGCATTGCATTTCGAATGTTTTCTTCAGACTATATGACTATCCATCCTTAAATACTCATTCTTCTCTCTCTCCGTACTCTCGTCCAATTGGAATTAGGCACTTCACTGATGAGAACTACTATTCTTATTCGATGATATTTTTATCTACCTGTACTATCTCATGCACTCTCCATGGGCTCAAGTTATCTTGCTGTTGAAAGTGCCAGAAGAACACTCAACTCAGTTTGAAAAGGGGATATTGTATAAGTAAAGGTACCCCGGAAAGTCTTCCATAAGCTTAGAGGAAGGATCGAGTGCGTGAATATGGATGAGTGTCTTCTACATTGGAAGCGATTCATCCACAATCATACCCCAACAAACCTGTGCAGATACTCGCACAGCAACACCTATGTCTACAACCGGCCGCACTCACACCGACTTGCCACACTTCACACTTACATTGACACTCATACACCTTCAGCCACAATCACGCCCACTCTTTCCATACCTATAGTCACATTACACAGTAATAGTCACATCTGCACTTGTTTATTTTCTTGTTATTCACAACCGTCTCCATATTCTACGTATACATGCTCGTCAAAGCAAAACTATTTTTTGTTGATGTCATAAACGTAAAATTGATTGCCAAAATCTGAAGATATGTTGCTATTGTTTGATGCTTTCGCTCGAAATAGATGTTAAATAGTTTCTGTTTGATCTTGAATACTGTTTAAATAATCTTCTATTTCAAAGCTAAATAAAGAATCATTAAGGTTTGTGCCATGCAAGTAAAAATTTCCATTTCTGTATTTTTAAACAAATAGTGATAAACTTTAAATAATAATCAATTCACATATACAGCCTATATTGTCGGATGATTTGCGCGCAAATACTCTCCATTCAGATTAGAATCATGGCAATTCTCGTACCACCAAGCTCTATTATTCGTTGTACACATAAATGAGGAGCAGGATCATTATCTTGTTCCTAGGTTGAAAACTACTGGTTATTACTTCTACTTAACGAGTCCTTCACATCGCTCTTTAGATAGAATCTGAATATCAGTCGGTATTTATCAGCTTTGTTAGATATTCGGACAGAGGTATAATCAGCATATCTCTTTTATCCTTCAAAGTTCTCGAGATCGACTCGCAACTGATACAAATCTTGATTTGTCAAAATTGACAAACGATCATTTCCTAACCAAAATTGTCGTTGCAGATTGCCAAAGCCTTCTTTACGTATTTGAGCCATGTTCGATAGAAATTTTCTTGAGGTAAGAAGTGACCTAGTTTCTGGACGATAGTCCATCCATCATCATCAGTGTCCATGTTTCACAGTACTTTGATCGGTTTTCCTATTTATAATAACACAGATTATATATGAAAAGACCATAAGAATAAGTCGAACACCTTCTCTATGCCAAATCTCATAGACACCACTTTGAGGTGGTTTAGTACGTGAACTACCCTTAGCTAAATAGATGCCTGCACAGTCTTCCAGATACTTGCTAAAAGACAATCTGTCACTGGTTTGCGTTTGAGCATTTGTCAAAAGTCTTTCATTCAATTCACGAGCCAAAGCAGCTTGGAGAACATATCTGTATACTAGTCTATCAGTAAATACGAAGAGTAAGAAAGTAGATATCAGCAAAATTTGCATTGTTGATTTGTTTTCGAATAAGGAAATTGTTTGAGACGAGACTACATTTACGCTTTCTTATAAATACTGCGATTGCATCAGACACTTTCGATTGATTCAACACATTTTTTTTACAACATAACACGATTTGTATAATGCAAATTATAGGAAAAATGAATACTCAAATATGTACGAATTGAGGCATGAAATATCTATAAAGCTTTAGCATCATATACATTTAAAGTGTCCATGCCACTCATAAATCATTGAAAAGTACATGAATGATTTGATAAATTGTTAGTATCAACTAATCTTCTCGCTTTTCTCTAATGATGGAGACTACACTCTATGTCTAGCTCTGCTAATCTTATCAAGACTTTTTTTTGAAAATCTCGCTATGCAACAAAGTCCAATTTAATCCCTTGACATCGGGACTGAGTATTACGATAGCTTTAAGAGTGTCAGATAGGTCTGGGTGTGAGTGTAGTAGATGGTGAATGCAAGTATGTGGATGGAGGTGTGAGTTTAGATGTGTTGATGTAGTTGTGGTTGTGAGTGTGGACTGTGAGTGGATTCGATACTCACATTCAGTAGTAACACCAACACCTATACTTTAATTATAAAACAAGCGATGTTGAATACAATAATGATACATAATATAATTATATTAATAATACTAAATCATGCAAACTACACTATTCAAAAATACGATTACAAATTTTTTATATCCACATTACTAAAACTAGACCTTTGAGATCATCTCTTACATTAGCAAATAGTCCTAAAGAGAGAATCAAGATCCAAAAAAGAATTATAATCGATTCATAAACATTTGTTCGATATTTAATTGATAATGAATGAATAAAAATCATGAAATTAAAGACAAGAAATAATCTATTCAGAAGTAAATATTATATTAAGCAAATGATAGAAATAAAATCAACATAAAAAGAATATTGATTAGAAAACCATAAGCAACAACATTCTAGAATAAGAATATATTTTATTTAAATATGAAAACTTTCCAATGAAAATAAGAAAAAATTCATAGTTATAAATTCGATGAACAGTTTGATTTATTTGATTTTTCAATATTTGTTATCATTTAGTAAATTTGATAATTTATCTGCTAATCGGATAGTGTATGCCTAAATACAAAGATAATCACATCTAAAAACAAAAGTCCTTACATAACAAAATAATCTTTACCGGAATAAATGAAGCTAGGGCAAATATCATTAGATAACTCATAAAAAAAATAATTGCTGGAACAATACCAATGGTATATTTTTTCAAACATATTGGTATTATAATAATAATCAACAAAGTTAGATAAGTTATTATCAAATCAATCATAATTAGTTTTGCAAACTATGACAACAACTAAGTAAAATTAATTTATAAGAATAAAATAAATAAAACATACTACACATAAACCTTTCACATGATATCGATCAGTAACAACTAATCCAAAACCAAAACACATGAAAGATAAAAGTGGCAAGAATCGAAGAACAATATTATATAATTCAAATCCCCATGTATAACCAAATACGTATGAATAATTAACAACAATCATGGATATTATAGAAAGAACCTGAAAATATAAATAAGAAGATTTCAAAGCAATTCAATCGAAATAGATCTTACAAAATTCTATCAATTTCACATAAAATTCAATTAATAGAAAATAGATAACGAAGAAATCTTCTTAGTACATGAGAAGATTTCTTCGTTAGAAAAATATCAAATTAGCTAAAGATTTCTTTTTTTTATTGAACTCAAAAATATTTAATCGTTTATTTTTAAAAAATAACTTACGAATTCTATAAAAGTTAAACGAAGAAGAAGTGTTCGTGTATGATTGATTTCTGCCAGTTGAGGCATTGGTGAATATTGATATGTTCCATCAGAGATATCAACATTAAATTTCTGATCATTAGTTGATGATTCGTAATGCATAATATTTATATGAGATTACTGTTATTTCTTGCAAATACTAAATCAGTAAAAAGTGAAAAGATAAAAATAAAAAAATAAAACAGCTTCCAGCCTGAGAAGAAACGTCGAGAAGGTCTTTTTTTATTTCTCTTAATCTCTACAAAAAAGATTTTTTACCATTGTGTACATATTTACCGAAGACGTTTGAGTTCTGTGCTATCGAATTTACCCGTTCTGAAGTGGTTTTTATTCTTCAACTATTTTTTCACGCATTGTGTACAATAGAACAAGAAAAAGAGTCTCAGGGGCGTATGTATTCATAGTTGAAGGGTATTGCAAAAAAGTTCGAAGTTGATTTAATTTATGCAGTATAAGTATCATAAAAAGTGTCACAATGTTTATAATTAATTCACTCTATCTACTATTCATGAAATTTTATAGTCTTTTCTCGGTTCAAGATAAACTCAATAGAAACTAAAACTCGTATTAGAATTCTATTGTTGGAATTGTGTCACATTCAGTGGCGTAGCCAAGGGAGGGGCAAATGGGCAATTG